GTTCATATTCATATTCTAATTATACTCTGAATCTGAATTTTCATGTATACTATTTGCATAAGTCGTTTGGTAACAAAATGCCTTACTCATTTCGTAATTCATTTCTACCTATACTTTACCATGCGCGCACATACACTTGCATTAATAAATAACTACTGTTATAAACCAAAGCAACGAATCATATATCTTCGAGGGTATTTCGAGGGAAAAATAAGAAATCTCGACAAGGTTACCTAAGTAAGAAAAACGCATATATATGTATATATAATTTATTAATTTTATTAAAAATATATAAAAGAATAAGGAATCGCATATTTGTACTTATTTAGAACATGAATCGATTGTCAAGCCATTTTTTTGCGACAGAGGCGATCAAAAGTGCGGTTTCACCTTGAAGTGTTGCTAGGGTTGGAAGTTTCCGAACAGGTTCCCTAGACAGGTAGAACTCCGATAATATTCCACCCTTCGGTAGACTTAAGCATGCGCAACGTTCGCAATGGTCAGCGTTATTGAGTGACCGGTCGCGTGAAGATATATGTGCAACTTGGCCTGTAGGGTCTATACGCGGTCGATTCTAAGGACATTGTCCAGTCTCTGAACTCCCCCGCGAGCTAGAGTCAGTAATGCCGCGGCTATACTCAGTGAACGGTCACGACGTTTTCCTCGGTCTTTCGCGGGCAACAAAATCACCGGTTTGGCGCCAGTTTTGATATAGTACGTATTAATGTAAACCGATTGTGAAAGGAATTGAAGTCAATATAATTTCGAAGAGTTTTAATTTCAATATTATGAACACGCGAACACTTTCTGCACTTATTTGTAATAAAACACACGAGTAAGATATTTTCTTGTTTATAACTTGAAAAATTAAAATAATGTGCGTCTGATAATGATAAAAATAAAAGCTGTTTTCAAACGAGTTGGTAAGTAATATACATATGTATAATATTGCGCTCATCATATCTTACCACACTCTTAATTAAATTTACAAAAATTTTCGTATTTTAGTATTTTTATCAGAATTAATAAAAAACTTCTTCTCACCATGATTTCTCACCGTGAATTATCGCAAAACTGCTGTTCATATTTCACAATTAGACAATCTTGCTTATAGACTCTCGTGACTTTATCAGTGAATAATTAAAAATATAATTACGCTACGTTCATGTTTCAGTTACTATGTCATGTTCTCACTTAGCAAATACGAGCAATCAATGAACGATCAATAGACTAAACTTCTAAGATTTGAGATAATACCTTTGAAAATTTTCATGGCACAATTATCTCCTTTTGCATAATATAAACTCATAACGAATAAAATCATTCAAATAAAATGTAATCTTTACACTTTTGAAGGGGAGCGCTCGAAAAATTAAACACGACACGCAATTTTAATTCTCTTCGACCAATTCGTCATGTCCGCCACAATATCGGACGTCTGAAGAAATCAGAAGGATGCCGGCTGGTATTTCGACTTTGGCGCCGTCGACGAATGCGGAATCTTTCGATTATGAAGCGAAGGATCCGCCGGCCTTTACAATTTTACAGAAGGATGGCTTGGACTCGAGTCTGCCTCTTTTACATATCAACGAAGACGATGAGATGAATGCGCAACTTATCAACTTAAAAAACATGAAGAACGCAATGAAGAATAACTTCTGTAATCGCAGACGTATCAGCAAATCCAATGAACATCTGGTCTTGGCTAGTCTACAATCGAATCAAGCCAATCCTCTGAAGAAAAAACATCAAAGTAGAAGTCAAGATAGCTTAACGTTAGTTGAGGACAGACCACTTACGGTTAAACCTAGCATTGTCTTATCAACGGAAGATTTCAATGAGGTGTTGAATGCGAAATTGAAAAAAATCCAAGAGCAAGTCGAGGCCGAGCAAGGCCGCAAGTCGCCTAAGAAATCGATCCTACCGCAGAAGAAGCCCTTCATCACGACCGTGAAGACGGGAGAATTTCTAATGCCGCCACCGGAAGTGGCGGCCTTGCTCGGCATAGCGCCCAGCGGAAAGAACGAGGAGGAGGAGACCGTAGACGGATGTCCTCTGAAGAGCAGATTCAAATCACTGGTATCGCTAGCCAAGAGACCGGAGGTACGTCATAATAGTCATAATGCCAGATGTCCAGCCGCCCTAAAGGCCACCGTAGATTTTTCCCTCGGTATGATGAACGCCACCACCATCGCTACCGCCTCAACCTTAAACGAGCAGGCAAGAAGGTTCAAGAGGAGTGAACTGACGTAAGTGATGCTGAGATGACGAAGCACAATCGTGTTATAAACGCCGTTCATTTGGCATATCGGTATAATTGTCTCCCTACAATCAGGGGCGATTTACAGAAAGAAAGAGAAGAAAGAGAGAGAGAAAAAAATCTGCCATGATGTTTTGTTCACAAGAATCTCTATAATACTAAGAAAAATATTGTATTCACAGAAATATTTGTTAATTTTTTAAAAAATTGTATGTTATGAAATAGGACTGTCATTTCTAGTACTTTCTACTTAATCATTACTAGGGACATTTAATAATTATTAATTTCAAATCACGAAAAATCATCAGCTCCTGTTTCCATTAAATTTGTTTCGTATCGTTCAAAGTGACGATATAAAAATTTTACATTATAAATATTTTTATGAATGTAAATCGCAATATGTATTTTACTTTAATTTTACGTCATTCTCAAACATTAAATATTTACGAAAAAGATAGACATTGCTGGGACATAATCGATCGGCCTACTAAGCAACTTATAAAAAGAGCTTATCGCTGACATATTTCAAATTTAAAAGCGTGAAAGGTGTCTTTGTTCTAAAAAGAAAAATACGAATTATGAATTCAATTAAATAAAAATAATGAGAGGCATGCCGAGAATAAGAAAAAAAATGTAAGAAGAGCGGGAATTGTTTTTCTAGCAGATTCCCGCAGACGCCGCGAGCTTTACCAAAAAAGTTGGAACCGATCGAGGGCATGATGAATATGCTGCCAAGACTTCGCGGGTAACGAAAACACCTTACAAGTGGCACCACACTTATCACTGGTCTTTTAGTCGATAGCAGCTGCTTTTTCCCTGCTTTTTTTCTTCTCGTCGATCTGATTTATTCTCGTGCGCTTGTGGTCGTGTTCGAATTTCTCTTTAGGCTGTCGTCGCTCTTAGTGCACCCCATTCTATCCATAGAATAGAAATCGTGTTCGTCAAGAATGAGATTAAATGGCTATTTCTCCAGCAATAACTCTAAAATGTCACTTTAGGATCCATTGGATTTAAACGTATATTTCAAATTATGACATCGTAAACATATTCTCGTGATATTTTATTGCTATGCGATTAAAACGCATGCCTCATTAAGTACAAATAGTACAAAATAAATGTATCACGAATATAATCTTTATTACAGATAATTTAAATTGTTTTTTCTACATTATAATTTGCTGTGTAGTGATGCGCATATTATTTATTATACCTATTTTGTATTTACACAAAATGATATACATATAATTATTTTATCATTCATATATATGAATATACATGATATGTACACACAGAATTATTTTAACTCAATTATATAGAAAATTTGAAATTGTTTCATCGACTATTATCGATTATTAAATTATTATTAATTATATACATACATATTATAAATCTTTAAATATTAAAATAAAATATAATTAATAATAATTTTGATAATAATTGACGAAATAATTTAAAATTTTTTATATAATTTAACTTAAATATTATGTTTCAATTGGAAAAAAATTGGTGAAATAAATTAAAAATGAACTATATAATATAACTTGAACTATAACTATATAACTTGAAATAATCATAAAAAATTAATTATATGACAATTACAGCTTTAAGATTATTATAGCTTTATATATCTAATTTTAAAAATATAAATTATTTTGCAAAGTTTGTCGATGTTTGTCTAAAAGCGACGGATTTCGTAATAATAATTATTATTACTCAATATATTCAGCTGAGCTTTTTTAAATTTATTTAGTGTTATTAAAAATAAATCTTATTATAAATACAATATTATTTTACAGCGATCAATCGGTTCCTTTCGGGAATATTATGTTTGACCGCCGAGTGGTTCGAGGAAGCACATGCGCTTCCATTCCTACTCTTGTAAGCACTAATTTTTCGAAACAAAAAATCAATTTAATATATTTCTCATAAAATTCATATTTATCTAGATCGATGGAGAACAATCGATAGCAAGGAGGCAAGCCGAAGCAAGACGAAGACATTTGGCGAGGAAACGTGCTCAAATGCAAACTTGCAGAGCGCTCGTCGCTAGATCAGGTTCGCCTCCTCCGGTTGCTGGAAGAAAACACGAACCGGTGCAAACGGAAATTTTTCTCGAAGAGGTTAATTAAATTTATTTTTTATTTAATTATTGACTTTATTTAATTATCGACTAATTATTACTTTTCATGAAGGCAAGCGAAGTTTGTGTCAAATTTGTAACTGAACATATTGTACATTCAAGCTGCTCGAGAAACCAGACGAATCCGAAGTAGCCACACAGACTTACTTCTTAGAAAAACCAGTACTACCAATATATTATGTAGGCAAAGTTGGTCAAGACGCTTGCACGCAAATCGAACCCGGGGAAGTACGTGCTCTTAATATTTTATCATAATAGATTATGGTGTTTCACATTATGATCAGATCGATCTATAGAATAAATGTTATACTTGATATTTCCAGCTCTTCGACTACGACACTGAAGTCCAACCGATTTTGGAAGTGTTGGTAGGCAAGACTATTGAACAAGCCCTAATCGAGGTCCTGGAAGAAGAGGAAATCTCTGCTCTTAAGGAGCAGCAAAGAAGATTCCTCGAATTGCGCATGGCTGAGAAAGCTGAAGAACAACGATTAGCGGAAGAAGATAGAAGACGTAGAGAGGAGAAGGTATCGATTTTCTATTTTTGATCTTTTAATATTTCGCTACTTTTAAGTTCTCTATTTATTTGCTTTATCTTATTATAAATAAAGAATGAGAAAATATTTAAAATGTAAAAAAGCAAATTAATTTCCAATCTGCAGGAGCAACGCCTGAAGCAACAAGAAAAGGCGATGAAAGCTCAACAGGAGATCGAAGAACGAGTCGCGGCTGCAGTATTGTTAACAGGATATATCGCCGAACTTTTACCTGCGGTTCTAGAGAGTCTGAAGATGTCTGGTTATTTACTGGATGAGATTAAGGCTGGTTCGTGAGAAATGATTTATTCAAATTTAATAATCATAAAAATTCCTTAATTTTTATCGATTTTATCTTTTTAAGTTTTTGTTCGTTTTTTTCCTTCTCCCCATCTCAATCATCTTGCTCTTTATTTAGATAATAATGTGCCATAAATATGATTTTCAGATGTTGAAGAAGGTTTCATGCCGTGGTTAATGAAAGAAGTCAAAAAAGAAATGGGTAACATGATTGAAAGCAGAGAATTGTTAATGGGTAAGGCTGAACTTTGGAAAAGTAAAGTTTTTTTAAAAAACTATTCATACTTTTTCAAATTTTATAATATATTTTAAAAAATCGAACATAAAATAAAAAAGAGATTCATCTTTATAATGATTTTCGATGAGCAATGTATATGCAAATGTACAATGGTCATTTTACAGAAATTATTAAAGAAATCTTGGAGAACCGCGCGCAAACATACAGGCAGCTTGGTGAAGAATACAATATTACTTCAAGAAATAAGAAATTAGCAGACGAATATAATTTGGAAGAAGGTGAAACTGATAGCAATTTCGTGAATTACCGTGAGTCACCCATGGCAGAAAATCATGCAATTTAGCGTGATAATTTGTTGGTACGATATTCAGTATATGTTTACAACATAAACATTTAAAATGTATGATTTATTTTGACAGATCAAAATTAAAATCTCAGCAAAATTTTATTCAATAATTAAAACAAAATTAAAATAAAATTAAAATATGAATGAGTAACCAAAAATATAGAAAATAAAAATTATTATTGGATCATAAATATTTATGTTATAATATATAGTTAGATAGTTTGAAGGTAATTTTTTGATAATTTTTGTTATCGTTAATTGTATTATCGTGCGGTTTTCAGGACTTAATGATGTTAGAAAATGAGCAAAACGTAGTTAACTTTTGGATAACAGGATTTACCTTAACCAGTACAAAAGCAATATCCGAATCCGGTACCTTCTACATTAAGCAGTATACACAGCTGTGCAACAAATCCATCTCCTTCCGTTTGCACCCTCTGACAGGTCACCGCAGCGCTCGCGATCCCTATCGCAAACAGTAACCGCCGAAAGAACGAGAAAGGCCTATCAGAAATTAATTATCGATTCTCGAAATCAACGCGGTATAATCTCTCTCGCTGACATAAAAAAGATGCAGAGATAAAAATAAATCAATTTTTATCCCAAACTTACTAAAGATTTTTTTCTATGCTGAGATCTTAATACATATTATAATATAATATTATAATATAATATTATAATTAATA